GTGGGAATGAGAATCGCTCTTGAAAGCGCATATAATCGCACACGGCCAGGGAACCTCCCTGAGTTCCATTCTACAACCGGAGAACACGCGGTAGTACGCCGTCACAGAATAATCAGACGCGGCGAAGGTACTTCGAGGCTTTCCTCTATCCATGATAACTAAATGTTCGAGGACGAACATTCTAATTTTGGGGAGATAATGTTATGATACGACATGAGCCAGATTATAGATTCTGGGCATCCTGTATAATACGAAGGACGAAGAGTCTAAACATTCCTGATCGGGGTTACCCCTCACCTACTGTATAGAAGGGTTCCGAACTATAAAGGAGCGTGAGGCTGAGACATCCCTGAAGAAGGATAACACTTTTTAGAGATCGAGAATACGACAGATAGACTAGGCCTATCCACTAAGGCTGAACTATCTATAAACCGATCTACTCGTAGTTTAAGAGACAGCTCCAGGCTGTTTCATAATAAGATTCCGGTTGCGGCCATACCATGCAGGAAGCACTGTTTCCCGTCCGATCAACGTTAGTTAAGCTGCATAGGGCCACACTGAGTAGTGTAGTGGGAGACCATATGCGAAATTGTGGTGCTGCAATCTTTTTGTTTCTTAGTCTGTATTTTTGCCGAACATTCCACTTGACGTGTATGACGCCCCAGTCAATTAAACAGTTTCTTTAATCCGATGAATCTACTAAGACAAAAAGTCTTCAGCGACTTTAGTCTACGCTCCGGTCAATCACAAAAGATTGCGTTGAATGCGAAATATAAATGTACTACTTCGGGAAAGCCATACCCAATCCACGTGAAATAACACGTGATCTTTGCAGGAAAACGGAATCGTTTTTGGCTCTCAGCAAAAGCCATCTATTTCAAAGGTGTGACTGAGCTGTAAAAAATACCTATCATATCTGCATCTCCAACAGTTGGGTACTCCATACTGCACACAACACTGCACGGCCTTTTGCTACATGAACCCGGCGCGTCCTTTAACTCAAGCATTACTGTGGCGATGAAGACATCTGAAATATCTGTAGGCAATAACGACTACGACTTGGCTGTGCACGTGACCACACCTGTCTCAGCCAAGACACCTGTGCTTGTATATTTGACTCAGCGGGGACAAGGCAAAATCGGCAGCTACGTGTACACTATTGGTCGGGGCACGGAGACGTATAGTAGTATTTTACAGCAGGGTGAGGACGCAGGAGTTGACGATTTGGCCACGAATTTGGGGCGAGTGATCCTGAAGCGTTTTGGGTGTCCATCGTATGTGTGTATGAGTGGATGTTTCATGCCCTACGAGTATGGCGAACTTTCACGCCAGGTGGTGGCTGCGTGCAACGAGGCCGTGGCATAAGGACTTGTGGAAAGCATTGGAAAAAGGTGACGAATAAGAGAACGAATGAAGGGGAACACAAGAGAAAATAAATGAGAACACAGGAAGGTGTCACGTGAAACGTACAGGAAACTAGAGAACAAGAATAAAGGGTATTGAAAGGTGAGAGAATGCGAATGTGGGGGAGTAAAAAGGAGCGAGCCTGAAGAGGGTCTGAAAAGTCAAAAAGAACTCAATTCCAGATTTGTGGGGTTTTGAGAGGTCTGTACAGCGGTCCCTCTTTTCTATCCTTATATGATGTCAAATCACGGCTCTGCGCTAGTTGATATGTGTGCACGAGTAATAATAGCTTGCATGTCCCAAAATTCATGATTGACCGTACAACGTGCAAGCGACAAATTGACTCCCAGAGAGCTGGTCCAGGTCGTGGCTATATAATACAGAGAGCCTTATTCGTGCAACTTCGATGAGTCCCCGGAAAATCAAAATAGTTCATTTTCAAGGAAGAAAAGGCAAGGAAGAAAAACAGGGCTACTCTATGACGGCATCAAAAGCTCAATAGATCACACTGGCCCATAAGACCATTCCAGGCCGGTCTTGGTATGTATGGGCACGTGACTGCCATCGGGCCAAAATTTTCTGGTCCCCTCCACATACTAGAAGCAGGTCAATCTCAGCTCTGGTTGAAACACTTAAGCCAGAGAAAGTTAGGAGAGGAAACAAGGATGCATTCGGATAACGCGTCTGAGAGAATTTACGTGGTTGGTGTCGACGAAGCATGCAGCAGCAACCAATGAATTACCCCACAATGAGAATTATTCTTAAAGTCCATCTGCCAAAAGCCAGCGGCACTGTCAACTCAGTAAATGCCTAAAAGTGTGAGAAGTCGAAAGACCTACAAGCCCGACATCAGATCCAAGAGCCCCAATTAGCCATGAAGGCACCTGCGGAATCTGCAGTCCATATTCCGGATCGTCGTCCCAGAATGTCGCGGTGTCGGTGTCGCGCCTCGATGTCGCACCGCATCGGGCTCATCTCGGACGCAATTATTCTCATCCTGCAAAAACCAGGTCCTCACTGATAAGCACAAAATGGACGCCAAAACTAAGACACAATCCCTGAGAAAGGGCAAGAAAGCATGGAGAAAGAACATCCTTGTTGACGACATCAACCTGGCGTTGGACGCCAACAGGGAGAGACAGGTGTTGCATGGGGACGACACAGATGGCGATTTCGTCATTGATACCGAGGGCTCCAGTAGGCCGAAAAATGCCGTGTCCGTCTTGAAAACCACCGAGATTCTTGCCAACAAATCTAAGGTGCCAGCACTCGCCTCCAGGAAAACCAAACTGAAGGTCAGCAAGGCGCGGGCGGAGAAGTTGATGATTTTGGCCGGCCGTCTGGCCACGGGGTCCAAGGGCAAAGCCCGTACCGACACCGAGGGCCTTGTAAAGGGCTCCAATGTGGACTTGTGGGCCGAAGATGACACCAGTGCCAGCAAAAAGATAAACGAGCCCACTAGGATCTCGTTCACCAAGGCCAGCAAAGCCCCGGCCACGTTGAAACACCAGCCGTTGCATCTCCACACCGAAGCCGAGGTGGACGATTTGGTGCATGCAGGCAAGTCTTACAATCCGTCTGTAGAGGCGTGGAAGAGCTTGGTTGACCGTGAGTACGTGCTGGAGAACGACGCTCAGATGAAGGTGCAGGCTTTAGAGCAGGAGCAGGAGCGCATCCAGCACTTGATGGAGACGCTCAAGGACGACGAGTTAGATGGTGGCGAATCTTCTGCCGAGGAGGACGTGGCAGAGCCCGAGGACCCGGAGGAGAAATACAGACTCTCGGTCAACGAGCGCACCGAGGTCAAGCGGAAAACACGCACACAGAAAAACCGCGAGGCCAGACACAAGCAGCAGCTCGAGCTTCTGAAGAAAATGAGGGAGTTGAAGTCGCAACTCCGAGACCTCCAGAACTTGCTGGCGATCCAGCAAGAGGTGGCCGAGAAGGCTGCCTTGCAGGACCAAAAGCCTCGCGTGCCCAAGAAATATAAGAGCCACAGCAAGCACGAACCGCTGTTTACGCCCATCGAAGTGAAATTGCTGGACGAGTTGACGAACAACTTGCGTGCGGTGAAGCCAGAGGGCAACCCGTTCTACGAGCAAATGTACAAGTTGCAGATGTCCGGAAAGGTCGAGGCCCGTGTGCCCGTGGCGCCTAGAAAACGTTACAAACAGAAGCTCACGGAGAAGTGGAGCTACAAGCAGTTTAAGTGATGAGAGACGACTTTCCGGAATAGTCTTTTTTAGGGAGAGCGCCAGTCTATCCAGGGCCGCTCGCTATGAAGCATTAGAAGTGGACAAATCAGAAGTGGTCAATCCGTGGTACGGCGGGAGGACGTAATGGTAATCGGCATCAGGCATTTATAGTGTTTAATACAACTTCACTGGGAGGGTTATTGCGACACCGAAAGGGTGTGGCACTGTCGGTTCGAAAACTGAAACAAGAGGAGAAACATAAATTGTAGTACTGGGTCATTTTCCCCTTCACTAGCAATACTATGTATTTGTCAGCTTCCATATCAATGATGTCGATCAACGAGTAGGTTTGAAGGAAGACAAGAAGTCCAGAACTTGGCCTTCTGGTTCTGGTGATGGGTGATTATTGATGATTCCTCATGGTTCAAATATAACCCCACTGATGCCTCATGCCTTCGGAGTGACAATATTAGCGTAGATAAATCGAACACATTGGTTTCGTAAAACATGTTTGATTCTAAGCATTTACATCTAACTTTGACTGGCAGTGGAATATCCCAACATTAGCAAGTTCCCTTCTTCGAGATCATAAAAAAGAGAATATACTAGCTTGAGTTACAGGCGCGTACTTGCTTTGAATATGGAGACGACTGAGTGCCCTGTTGTCAGTGGGGAAGTCATCATGTACCTTGATATAGGCATCGTAATAAAGGATAGTTGATATCGCAGGATTCAAGCTATATCACGACGGACGGTATATCTCATCTATACTACACTTTGCCGCAAAGGCATCTCCTACAAGCAAGAGTCAATAATCTCTACAAAATCTACTCAACAATAGATAGATGAGTATCGTAATATACGGTAATTATCAGCATACATCAAGACCTACATTCACAGACTCGCACGAAAAAGCCAATGCAAAGCTACACCAGTCGTCGAAAACAGAACTGATATGTTTTATGTTGACTGTTTTTCTTATTCGAGCATCCCAACATGTACGCCACTGATGCAACAAAACTAGCAATTTTGCATGTCCGACATGTTATTTGGACCATTTCAGGACCATCTGAATAAAAGATAGTGGGAGTTAAACAAATCTACATTGTGTGTTGGCCGATTACTCGAGCCCCCGCAGCTCCGTCCAAAGCTTCCGATTTCAAAAAAACTACGTGGTACCTGTTCTGATATGCATTTGTGTATTGTGTAAACCCATCCTTTACGAGAAGTCCCACGTGCCGAAGACGTAGCCTCTGTACAATCTTTCCCTGAGACTGAAGTACTGGTCTTTGTAAGCGGACCAGTAACCCTCCTTGGTGATGTGCGAGGTTTTGAAGTGCTCAGGAGCAACCGCATCACTGATCTGGCCTCTCTTTGTGCCGGTCAAAAGAAGGTCTCTTTCCATCATCTTGAGGTCCCATGGGTCCAAGTTATATCTGTCGTTCTTCCATCCGTTATCCCAGTATCTGATGTATCCCACACCATGACCGGCGAGACCGAAAAACGCCGTCATGATCGCATATGGCAACAAGCCTTCGAAAGGAACCGCCATCTTAAGGTGCTTCTGTCTTGATGAGTTGCGTAGTGACTGGGTTTCGAATGAATGTGAAGTGATTGGCCCGTCGCGAAAGTCGTGCCGTGCACACTTATATGGCGTTTTTCGTGCGCGCATGGTTTCGCACCCAAAGCGAGTAATAACCGAACATGTTTGAAGTGCAATTCTGCGTGGCTTGGCAAGCATTTCGGGGCTTTCCTGGAAAATTGCGTTTACTTGGTGAATCAAGGTATGTCGTTTCTTATTTGTTTCCATTTCAGACCACACGAGGTTAGCAGGGCGCGAGGTGCATGACGCTGGCCGCAAGAACTGTCATGCTGAAGGCTCTGTATGAGTCCGCAATAATTCATAATGTGACGATCCTTCAATTCGATTGGTTCCATCGATCCAAGTTGTGTCCCATTTCAAAGGCGTGCTAGCAAGAGCATGCCAACACAAAACACTCTCATGCTCTACCCGCTTTGGATCCCCCACACCTTCCTCACAAACTTCGCCATGTTCACATTGAACCGCAGTTGGCCTATGCACCACGGATGCTGAAGAATCTGCCGCGGCCCTGGCCGGTCCTCGGGGACTTTCTTCAAGCAGTAGCCCAAGAAATTGCGAAAGGAATCCAGCCAGTGGATCTGCTCCGCGGGATTGTCCTCGAGCTTTGGCTCGCACTCTAATATCAACAGGAGGAGCTCAATGGGGCCCAAGGGGTTGGAGTTTTGCGCTAGAAACGGGAACCGGCCCTGGGCCACCTCAAGCAACGTCACGCCAAGCAGCCACACGTCACAGCTCACCGTGTACGGCTGGCCCATGATGCGCTCGGGCGCCATGTAGTACTGGGTGCCCACAAAGGTTGTGGCAAGCGAATTGACCACGTCGCCGCTGACGCCAAAGTCACAGATTTTCACGTTGCCCTGCGTGTCGAACAAGATATTACTGGGCTTGATGTCCCGGTGGATGATCTTCTGCAGGTGGAGGTAGTCCAAGCCCTTGAGCACCGAGTCCGCAACCTTGCCCAATACTTTCTCGCTGACCCGGTTGGTGGGGTCAAGCTCTAGTACGTGCTTGTAGATGGCGTCCAACGTGCCCCCACCCATGAACTCCATGGCAATGCCAATCATCAGCTGCTTCTCAACCATAAACGTGCCGTAGTACTTGACGATATTGGGTGAGTGGCACAGGCGGTTGTACTGCAACTCGCGAAGGATCTGTTTCTGGATGTCCGGGTTCGGGTCAGTGTTGATGAGCTTCAATGCAAAGACTGGCGACCCGCACTTGAGCACGCATTTGGAAACGCTACCGCCGTTTCCCTCGCCCAACTTGCTGAGCTCCTCGATCTGGCTCGAGTTTGCTAGGAAGTTCCACTCTTCCGGGGTCACGTGGTCGAGTTGCGCCGCCGGGCCGGGCGACTTGGCGGGCGCCGCCGTGCCCCCGGAATCCGTGTGCATGGCGCGCTGTAGAGCCGAGTTTTCCGCGGTCACACTCACTATTAGACTCGGCTTGCCCTGCTCGGGTACGTGTGAGTGCAGCCCGTCGATTTTCGTGAAATCTAGCGGAACCGGCTTGCGCCGGAGCCGGCCGGGCGATGGCTCTGATGTTGGAATGTAGGGCAAAGATACTGGCGCATTGAGCACAGACACCTCCAGGGCCATTAGTGGCTGGGAAGCCGCCGAGTGCTGCGTGTTCCCGGCTTTCCCAAGCAGGAGAGGCAGGGGGATGGAAAGCAGGAGCTTCAGGTTTTGTGCCTGGCGCCGCGGGGGCGGGACCTGAAACATAGGGCTCTCATCGGACATGGTGGTCTAGCGGTGGTACTAGGAGAACGAGGCGATCTATGAAGTGCCCGTCTATCGTTTGTATGAAGCGCCCGTGTACTATCGTTTGTATGAGCCGCGTGTGTACTATCCTCTGTTTTCTTGAAATCGCGTCACTTCCACCTTTTTCTGGCTCGTTTCGTTTGGCTGGCTCTCACTGACGGCGGGTGAGTTGTTGGCGATTCGGAACGAGGCTCGGCAAAAGATGCGGCGTTGGATCTGGGCCCGCTATCGTGCCAGACGCCTTTGGCTGGGTTTTCGCTCGCGCGCTCCGAGCCACTCCATACAAACCAACATGTCCTGTATGGTGGCACGTGGGGGACGCCGAACGGCCGTATCCGGCAAGTCTGGGGACGGCCCGAAAGGCCCATCGGCTGTGGAAAAAACGGGTGCAAGTTATGAGCTGCACATCAGGAGAGCCTTGCGGTTTTTAGCCCTTGCGGTTTTTAGCAATAGCGCATTTTCAACCAGACCCTGGTTTCAAGATTGGCGTGCAGGCTCTTCGCCGGCCAAGTGGCTGCGAAGGTGCCGGCCGTCTGAAGGCAGTCTGATATCCGTCTGATATCAGTAGAAGACACCGTCGCTCGGAGCTGGGTTTCCCCGCTGACCCTGCATCAAAATCCTCAATTTTTTTTCAAAAAAATAACACCTTGCTATGCTTTCAATTCCTGTTGTGAAGTCACCGCCCATGCCAAAACCACATCTGCGCCAATCTCACTCCTGACTGACCGATCACGCAGCCTTTTTCTTGCCCTTTTTGGCCGTCTTCTTACCCGCAGGGAGCTTCTTGATAAGCTTGTCCTTTTTCGAGTCGATCTCTCCGCTGTCTTCCACAGGCTCGTCTTCGTCCTTCGCAGTGTCGTCCTCAACAACATCCTCGTAGTCAACCTTCTGTTTGGAGGCAGCGCCACTGCCCACGGAGTTCCCGGTCTTGTAGATGGCCACCGGGTGCGACATTCCGTTGTATTTCCTCGTGAACGCAGACTTGACCTTGGTGGGGATGCCCTTCAAGATGTCCGGGCCTGTCTTGGCCCCGACCCCAAGCTCCAACACGCTGTCCCAGTCGTCCTTACTGAAAAAGTACTGGTCCATGGTATCTATCACCTCCAGAATGCCGGCCTCGCCTTGAGACAACAACGGCTTGGTCAACGCGTCGCGGAGCACCGGCACGTAGTCAAGACGGAAGTCGCTCTTGCTGGTGGAGGTGCGGAGCCTGGCGTGGTACTGCAACTCCTGGAGCAAGCGCATGTTCTTGTTGGTCTTGGAGAAGTTGCCGAGCCAGGAGGTGAAGTTGATGCGGCCCATGATGGAGCCGTTGGTCTCCATGGCGGGCTTCACCGTGGACATGACACCATGGAAGGGGAGAAGACTCCACTGCTGCTCGCTCGAGCGGATCAAGGAGCTGATGCGGTCGGACTCGCTGATGGCGTCCGCCGCGGCCGCCACGCGGCGCAAGTGCTCCTGCTGAGACAGCACGCGGGGCCTGGTCACGAGGTAGTTCTCCTGGATCATCAACGGCGCAAAGTCAATGTCGTTGAAGTACAAGTCGAGCTTGTCGTTCAAGGTGCTGCCCGAGCTCGGGTTGAAGATGGGGCCGGCCAACAACGTGGAGGTGATGTCGAAGGGCTTCAACATCACGTGCTTCTTCCAGCTGTCGGCAATCTGCTTCGAGTTCTCGTGGCCAATGACCTTCTGCGTCTTGGACACCGTGGACATCAAGTTGATGATCTGGCGGATGTCGTTGCCCGTGGCCTGCACCAACTTGCCGATGACCGAGGGGTCCAACTTGAGGTGCTCGCGGTGCGCGATGGTGAGCAAGCGCGCCTTCATCTCCACCTCGCTGGGCCGCTTGAACGGGAGCCCGAACGTCACCTTGTCGAACGTCCGCATCTTGGGAAGCGACTTGTCGTTGCAGATCAAGATCATGGGCATCCTGGTGATGCGGCAGAACGCGGACAACGCACCCGCGCCGCCGTGGTCGCCGCTGGACATGCCGTCCACCTCGTCCATGATGAGGCAGAAGCGCCGCTCGTTCGCGTGGGGCGCCGCGTCGCGGTGGTGCTTGAAGAAGCCCACCACGGACGTGTTGTTGAGCACGGACTTGATGTCCGAGTTGAGGAGCGCCTTGGACCGCACGTCCGACGCGTTCTTCTCGAGCACGTCGAAGCCCAACTCCTTCGCCACAAGGTGCGCCGCGGTGGTCTTGCCGATCCCGGGCGGCCCCGAGATCAACGCCGCGCGGAACACGCCGGACCCGTCGGCGCCGGGCGCCTTGAAGTCCTTCCTGGCGTTGTCAAACCACCGCAGGAGCCAGCTGCGCAACTTGGCCACCTGGCCCTTGTTGCCGCAGATCTGCGCCAAGCTGTCCGGCGCATACTTGACCGTCCACAACTTCTCGCTGTTTGGCACCTCGCGCCTTGGCGCCGGCGGCAACGGCGCCGCCGTGCTCGCGGCCCCGCCTCCGCCCGGCGCCTGGGCCCGGGCCCGCTTGGCCTCTGGTTTCTGCCGCTTGGCCTCGCGCTCCCGCTCGGCCGTTTCCTCCGCGCGCGCTTGCGCCAAAATAGCCTGCTCCTCCTCCTCCCTCTTGCGCTTGGCGGCCTGGGCGCTGGCGCTGGCGCCGCCGTCGGCGGGCATTCGCGCCAAGAGCTCGATGAAGCCGGCCTCGTCGATGGCCTTGATGCCGAGGTCGCGGATCTTCTTGACCTTGGCCGGGCCGGCCTCGTCGCCCACGACCACCAAGCTGGTTTTCTTCAGTATGCTCTTGGTGACACGCGCGCCGTAGCGCTTGGCCACGGACTCGCTGGCGTCGCGGTCGAGGTTCGGAAGCACGCCCGTGAATACGAGCGTGAGCCCGCCCAAGCAGTTGGGCGCGGCCTCGGGGAGCTCCACGGCGCCGCTGGGCGCCGCCACGCTCTGCTGCTTGCTCTTCAAGGCAAAGTAGTTCAACTTGCCCTCGCTCTCCGGCGCCTCGGGGAGCGCCGCGTCCGGGATCGTCTGGAGAACGTCGTCCGCATGCACGCCCGTGCCCTCGGCTGCCTGTGCGGGCGGCGAAGGGGAGTTTTTGGCCGCCGGCGCCCTCCGTGGTCGTGCGGGCGTGGGCGCAGGCTCGATTTCCTGGATGCTCAAGTCTTCCTGTGGCGCCTCGTCTGCGTCTGCCGAGCCGCCGCCGTCGCTGTCGCTGGCGCCGGCCTCGGGGCCATCGGCAGCCTCGAAAACATCGTCTTCCTCCGCGTCATCGTCGTCGTCGTCGTCGTTGGGCTGGAACTCGTCCTCGGAATCGTCCATGTCCGAGTCTAGATTGACATACCGGGCCTTCTGTGCAGCGCGCCGAGGCTTTGCTGCCGTCCTGGCAGCCACCGGCATGTTCTCCAGGGCTGTGGCCGCGGATTTGGGCCTTTCCAGCGGCGGTTCTAGCGTTTGTGGCGCGGCGGGCCCGTCCGGGGGGCGTTTTTGGCCGCTGTTTTTGGCCGCGTCGTCGCCAAAGTACTTGCTGGTGGCCCGGCCCGTTTTGTGGACCTTGGCGGGCGCGTTTTCCGTGTTGCCGGGCGTGGAAGAAGCGTTTTTGCTGGCGGCAGAGGGCCGTTTCTTGGGCTGGAGGGGTTAGTATGGGGGCACAAAAGAGGCGGGCCAAAAGGGACAGAAAAGCCGGCACGGCGGGGCCCAAAGAAAGCGCCCGGCACGTGCACGCACATACGGTTTTGGCGGCGTCGCCGCCGCCGAAAAACAGTCGGATGTCCACCATTGTGTCTGGAGTAGAAAGAACTGGGGCGGAGACGCGTGGGTTTCAATGTCTTTTCGCACTGGGCCGCTGGCCCTGGGCCTGCGCGCCGCACCCTGGCAAATGGGCCTGAAAGCTATGGAATTACGAAATGTCTTTTTTTTTTTGTCACGAGGGGCAAAAGGCGGCTGGCACGGGGGCAGCGGCCAAACTCGCGGCGTCTCTAGCTTTTCATGCCCCGTCTGTTCCGCTTCTGCTTTTTTTGTTCGGGTCGCCGGGCTCACTGGGCTGGTTATTTTGGCACCTGGGCCGGCCGCGCCTGAATATGGCATTCTCAGCTGGACATGGTCAGTGGAGCCGCCTTCGGCCAATGTAGCATTCACGCGGCCACTTGCTTCTTGCGCCCAAATGTAGCACTTCCACCAGAATTGGGCTTCCGGGCAGCCGCGTGGCGGGTCCAAAATGGCGCCCTGCTGTAGCACAAGTTCCCAGGGCCAACCGCAGCAAGACCCACAAAATTCACTATCCTCATTGGGATCCCGCCATGGCCACCAAATGCTGGCCCCAGCTTTGCTGCCGCTCGTAAACCCATTGACAAGTAGCACACTACCGTTTCGCCCCTCTGGCTCCTCGGCCATTCGTATAGCACATACAGCCAGCCTGGATGGGCACCGGCTCCCCCCGGCCCCGTCCTCCCTCACTTCTTCGAGCTTTCTTTATCCAAGAAATCCGTCCAGAGCGAGATAAGCCCCAGCCTCTGCTTGGACTCGTCGGCCCTGCCACTGTGCATGAGCCCCGCCTGGATTTTCTTCTGGTCGTCCCAATCAAGAAGCCCGGCAAGAAGCGAAAGGGCCTCGAACTTCTTGGTGTCGCCCCGCGGAATCTGCACAAAGTTCAACACCATGTTCGACACGAGCTCGCGGTCCACCGTGTGGTCGGAGTCGCCCAGTTTCTGCTTGAGCATCAGGAGCGACTTGGTCAAGTGCTCGTTGAGGATGATCGCCTCGTGGCGCAACTTGCCAATGATGAGCTGCTTGCTGTGCACGTCCTCCTCCAACTGCTTGATCTTTTCTAGGTCTTTCTGGAGAGCCGCGGTCTCACGGGCAGACTGCTCGGACGCCAGCTTCACCTGCGCCATCTCGGCACTGATGCTCTCGATTTGCGCCTGGGCGCCGGCGAGATCGCCGTCTTTCGCTTGTAACTGCCGTTCGAGCTCGCTGATGCGGGCCTCCAACACCCTGGAAGAATCCTGGACCGAGCCTTGGAGAGTGCGGAGATCATTCTCCCTTTCTGCAAGCCGCTCCTGGGACTCCTCTAGAGCAAGAAGCAAGTTCTTGTTCTCCATGACGGCGTCCTCCTTGGCCAAGTCAAGCTCATTGTGCATGGCTTTCTGCTCGCTCAACTTCTTGTTCAACCGGCCGACCTCGTTTTCCAACGCGTACTTTTCGTCCTGGAGCAAGTCCTCCTTTTTCTGGGACTCGCGTCTCAACGTGCCCAAGATCTGGCTCAACCGGTCACACTCGGCGTTCAAGTCTTGCGCCTCGGCCCGGAGTCTTTCGATGACCTCAAGCTGGTTTTTGCCTTGCGTGTCCCAGACCTGCTGCTGGTCCGCCTGTGCCTGGAGCTGTGCCTCGAGTCCCAGAACTTGAGACTTTAAGCCATCTGTGGTCTCCTCTGCCTGTTCTCTGGCTTCCCTCTGCTGGTTCAACTCGAGCTTGACGTCGTCCAATTCTTTCTGCGTGGCCTTGAAATTCTGGAACACGGTCTTCATGCTGGAGATCTTGCTCAAAAACCCTTCGAGCTGGCTCTGTGCGTGGTCTCTTTCTTGCTCGGTGTGCTGGAGCCTTTCTTCAAGCTGCACAACTTTTTCTGCAAGGAAAGAGTCGGGACTTGCTGCTGGGACTGCTGCACGTGACAGTTCCCATTGCAGGAGCCTGGCGTCTTTCTCTCCAAGTTCCGCCTTGAGCGCTTCAATTTGTTTTGCAAGCTGCGCAAGCTGGGTGTTGTGCTGTGGGTCTGCGGCTGATGGTTGGGACACAGAAACAGGCGTTCCGGGAATATCCGTGGCGTGCGCTTCTTGAATTTCCGCAGCATTTATCACCGAAGTTCCGGTGTTGTTTGATTCCTGGCCCTCGGTAGCCTCTATCTCTTGGTCCTCTGTGAAACGTTCTGCCTTGTTATTCGCCTCTTGGTTCTCTGTTGCCTCTAGCTCCTGGTCCTCTGTAGTTTCAGCTTCCTGGTTCTCTGTAGCTTCAACTTCCTGGTTCTTTGTAGTTTCGACATCTTGGTCCTCTGTCGTTTCGACATCTTGGTCCTCTGTAGCGTCAACCTCTTGCTCTATAGTTTCGACATCTTGGTCCTCTGTAGTTTCAACTTCTTGGCCCTCAGGGATAGCCATCTCATGGACTTCGGGAGAAACCGGATCTTCTGGTAATAACAACGGACCTAAATTTACAGAAACTGCTTCTGCCACATATTCTTGGGTACTTGGGGATTTAGACTGAGGCAGGTCTGGATAGTTGTTTGGCCCCAGTGGATCGTCCGAAACACCGTATCCCTGGTCGAGTGCCTTTTCGATATGCTCCATGGCCTTTTCTGCTTGCTGAAAGGCTGTTTCATCCACCGTGTCAGCTGGCTCGGGCGTCTCCTCGAATGTTTCAGAAGTAACACCGCTCTTTTCCGTGAATAACTCCTGGGTCTCCGGTGCAGATACAGGATCCAGCGCATCTCTGGAGTCCAGGGCAGACCACGCCACCGCAGCATCTAAACTCGTGCCATTTGCAGAGTTATTTCCGCCCGATTCCGGCTCTAGATCAGTGCTAGAAGATCCCTCTGGGGCTTCATCTACCCCCACTGGTTCTGGGATACTAGCGTCCTCAGCCAGGTTTCTCTGGGACAGCAGCAAACACTGCATATCCAGGTCTAGAATGGGGTCCTCTTTTCCTCCCGTAATGGCGTGCGTTTCTGTGTTCTCGCCGGCCAAAATTGACTTGGGGTTTTCTAGCGCACTAATAGTGCAGACCGGGGCCGGGACGTCTTCTTCGTCCAAGGCACTCAAGTCGTCGTCCCAGAAATCGTCCGCGTCTTCGTTGGACCAGGACGGAGATGTAGTTCTGGCGGCTGCCATTGTTTGCTCCCGATGCTGAGGTTCTGTCGATTTTGTATGGCCATTTGGAGTATGTTGATGTCTAAAAACAGAGCCTGGGAGTGCACCGAGCCAGCGCGGCCCAAAAGCGCGGGCCGAAGCGCCAGGCCCATATGGGGCCAATTTCCGGGCCTGGGACAAATGGGGCCAGTTTCCAGGGCTAGGGATATCCTGCTGGTGGTTTTTCTTAAATGGGCTCACGCTTGTTGGTTTTTGCAGTTATTCAAATGCTTTTTTAAGAGCTATTCTGGGCAAACAGCATACTGTCAGGAGACGATTTACTGTGGAAGTCAGAATGTATCTATGGTGCTGGTTGTTAGGGCCACGCGGCGCCGTGGGGATGTTCAGGCCTGACCTTGAATACCAGATATATAGAGTGCTGTGGCAGTTAGCAGTTTTCTTGAGGTATAATTGCTCCTTTAATTTTGACTGTTTCAATAAAAGCTAATACTGGCTTTGAAATGTTTTAAAGGATTGGGTCTGTGGTTTTTAATTGACGATTCTTAGCCTTTCATTGGGTCAGACCGTCAGGCCGGACGCGTCTTGCGCATGGCCTATTGAATATCCGAAATTACCTTAAGTCTCGGTTTCGAATTTGGCTAATGTCTGAGAACCTTGCAGCGTCTTTATATTCATCTTGTTTTTTTTTTTTTTTGAGAAAGATGGGATATCTACATAGCTCGATAAGCCTCTGGGTTCGCTAGGCCGTGTCAAATTTGCACCCATGGCTGGCCCACTAGAAGCCTTGAAAAATGAAAAGGCCTGGAAAAAAGAAAAAGGAATCACTAAAGGTCGTAAATAATGCCAATATTCGGAATGACTCCTCCCAGTCCAGGCATTCTGGTATGTGTTTCCGAGCGAGATGCAGAAGCCTTGAAATGTATGATCTTGGGATGTACTCCACATGTGCGACTGTATGTTTCGACATAGACATCCACCATGATAAAACAAGAGTATAAACCGACAAAATGGAAGCTACCGGTGAACCTTCAGTCCGTGTTCAAAACACACCAACAAACATTTGAATAACCATGGAGAGCAGGGAAAACAGAATCAACAGAATTACTAAATATTGGCTACCTTATATCTGTGCAATACAGGAAGGGTGTACGTATGCATTGATTGGTCCATGGTTTGGATCACGTATGTTAGGAACAAGCAAAACTAGAAATCTCTTAACTTATCACCGACATGGCTGGGATACAAAAAGAGCCAGATCCAGAACTTCGATGACACGTTTGCATCAAGCCCGGTCACGTGACTTGGAAAGGGCAGTGAATGGGTCTTTGCCAAGCTGTTTTCAGTGAAGAACGTCGAAAAAGATGCGTGAATAAGCTGGCCACATGCTTTGTCCCGAAGTTCTATGATTTCGACGCTATATGATGGATTTTGATCCGTGGCACATGATTCGGCGCGAGGTCTGTTTTTGGACAGCACCCATTAATTTCAATGCAACGTAACTTGCTCCTTCGTGACTGACGGTGGCGTTTCCGGTAGTGTGATCGCTAAACGATTCCTGGTTTACAGCTGTGTACTTTGTCTCTTCACGGTTTTTCTGTTCACAACTATGGTCAACAGTTATATATCTCCTCTGTTCACAGTAGGGTAGCTCGGTCATACCCCAAATTATCCATGGATTGACGCCCCACTTAAAAGCGTCGATCGTGTTTGGATCCCGATAGCCATGAATCAAAAAACCTGAACAACCTGCCTCACATAAACATCCTGAGTTAGTCATAAATAAAGCTCCTCTGACCCCACGTTTTCTAATTGCTCTCATATGGAACAGCAAAACATTCAACCTTGAGTTCTCTCCAATTACAATTGGAGATAATCTCCGGCCATCAGGATATTTGCGACTCAGCCCGTACTACAGATCAAGGCACTTTTCACACCCTGGCATCCCTACATTATACTAATGTGTAGCAACCCCGAGATTCAGGATAACCAACGACACCATCGTTCATAGCGGCCATCACGCCAAACAATATTGCCCTTCGGCACTACAGAAACTGAGAACTTATTTTCCTTTATTAGAGAAAGAATTCATTTTATACACGCCATGCCACGGCAGCCAAACACGCAGGCTGGCCCGAGACACAACTAATAGAGTGGGATTGGATTGACGTTTTTCTCGTATTAAAAAGTGGGCCGCCCCGTTTAGATGTTGGATGGGTACATCATGATTCTGACGGAAGCACCGAAGGTCTTTGGAGGCAAGTTCTTCTTGAAGTTGGCTCTGACAACACCGTTGTTACCGTGGGTTCTGGAAACCTTACCCCAGATGACTCTGATCTTGGTACCTCTGACCTCCTTCTGGGCTCTGTAGACGTAGGCGATTCTCTTACCAATGTAGAACTTAGCGTCCTTCGTGGTCTGGACACCCTCGATCTGGATCAACGAGACGTTTGGGTTGGTAACGCTCTTGGAACGTTGGTAGGACACGTGCTTACCCTTAACGTACACTGCAATGTTAGTATATGGAATTTGGGAGGTGGAATCTAAGATAATCTTATGCGTATAAGGCCCATGTATCTCGACGACGACGGGGCGGGCCCAGCCAGAAACGCCAGCTGTGATGAAACAGCACCCGGCGGAAAACACACATGCACGTTCCGGTGCTGTTTGGTGGTGTGGGGGCAAAACCGAACCACCCACATATTCCAGAGCCATGCTCACTATGTATGGAAGACTTATAGTAGCACCGTCTTGGGGGCCGGCGGCTGTCGTTCAAGACATGCACGCATGTATATCATGGCCCGAAGTCACATGTATTCTCATTGATTTGATCTTGAATTTTTTTACATACATCTGTGAGACTCAGCCATTGTGTATCAGTTGGATGATTAAAGAAGAAGATTTTCTGCCAGATGTGGGTCAAATTTTTCTCGCCAGTGTGAGTAGAAAATTCTTCGCGTGCCTGCACACGACGGGTGTTGCAGCCATCCGCGCCCACCACGAGCCTCACTGGAGCCACCACACCCGTGCACCATCTGCCCCGGGCGCCTGTGTGCTGGCGGTGTGCGTAGTGCGTGTGCGCGGGATTTGCTTGCCCGCGCACGTGACAACTGTTCCAGCCCTGGCTGCGCGCACGTGACAAGCCCTGCTGGTCTTGAGCAAGAGTTAATTGAAGGACTTCAGTGTATATGGGATATCTGGTTTTTGGTGGGTTATTCGAATTTCGATAACCATGTCTCGGATTTTGGAGTGTTGTATTGCGGCCTTTTGGTGAGATTGGTATATAAAAGTAAGATGACTGGTTTCGCATCCATTGTAGATATTACTCTGTTGAGGCAATTGACTTGTCTTCATCAAAAGCGACTTCCAGAACTTCACAAGGTTTTCTTTGTGTAGCCATCGTTTCAATTGGGCTATTCGTACTTCAGAAATAGACTCTTAGATTCATCCCGTATAGATACATAGAGGTGTATTCATCTGTGTTGTGTTGGAACAATTACCAAATGTATGATAAAGCTTTGTCAAAATGGTGGGGCATATGAATGATAAGCATGAAGATTTGGTGAATACGTAGGCAAGTGTTGCAGATCCATTACGTTGGGATTTTGAGAGTGCCGGTAATTTTCTGGAGTACTGGCAGGAATTGCTGATACCTGGTGATACTTGGTGATACTTCGGGATAATTGGGGATACTTGGTGGTCCTGATAATTCTTGGTAAATTTATACTTGTGATACTTGTGATACTTGTGATACTTGTGATACTTGTGATACTTGTGATACTTGTGATACTTGTGATACTTGTGATACTTGTGATACTTGTGATACTTGTGATACTTGTGATACTTGTGATACTTGTGATACTTGTGATACTTGTGATACTTGTGATACTT